TCAACAGCGTCGAGTTCATCCATCTCATCGTCGTCTTCAACCTCTCTCTCTCTCTCTCTCTCCTTATGCCATGTTATAATGGCGACCACGTACTCCATCACCCTGCTGCACTTCGTCGTAGCCCAATCTCCTCCCCTCTTCTCTCTCTCTCTCTCTCTCTCTCTCTTCCATTATTATTGTCTCGTTCCTCGAGTCCAAAAGCTAGGCATTATGTTTCTCTTGCGCTGAGGTAGTGTCACTGCCAAGTACTGTGGCCCGTAGTCTGATGATAAATGATATCGGATGGATCATCGGAACCTTCACGCTTCTCCCGCTTGAGATCCCACCCATCGTGCATGAGTGATGAGCTCCACTTTCGATCCAAAGTGGTGTTTCTTTGTTAGCCTGCATGTATTTGCAGCTACTTAATTGGTCTTCCCCTTCTTTGTCAAATGAAAGAAGATTATATTACTATGCCATCCAAATGTAACCTTTGCCAAGTAGATTCGAACATATCAAAATATTTAATTATGAGGATTAATGTAATATTTTAGAAATAATCAGAGGAGAGAGATGAGATAAAGCTAAAAAGAAGTTCCTTGATTCAGAACTTACAAAAATAAGTCCGTCATCAAGTTTAATATAATTTTTTTTTAAAAAAATTTCTCGATTCTTTTCCTCTATCCTTTTGCTGAAGAATCTATTATTTATTTATTGATGCTGATCATCTTTTCAAAAAAAATTCCAATGGTATTGTATAAATATCCTATATTCCATGGAGAAGACTTCAAACATCTAATTGTGATTATATTTCAAAAATATCATAAAGAATTATTTTTATTGCAAACAAGATGCACCAAATTAGACTTTAGGCCTCTAAAATGAATCTAATGTGTCCCAACTTTTCTTGTTATCGTCTTTTCTTGACCATAACATAGACATGTTTACCATCGAACACTTGATTCTAAGTTATCAAAATTACTTACGTGGGACTTATGTGGGTATAGATTCAACGCATTTGAGAGAGGTTTGAGACTTCTCGGGATGATATATAAATATTTAGATTGAGTTACGCTTGTAATGAGGTTCATTACAGATTAACTTTATATATATATATATATATATATATATATATATATATATATATATATATATATATAAAATATGAAGATGGAATGAAATTGAAGTAATTTTATTTGTCTTTTACATAAAATGAAATAAAATTAATTTTTAATATAATTTTACTTTTTTTTACATTACATTAAACTGGATAAAAAAAATACTCTTATGATTAATTTTAAATTATTATTATTACTATTATTGTCATTACAGAACTGCTTGTGGTCACCATACTGCCCTTGTCGCCGACAAGCGGTTACGGTTCTTCCACACCACCCCTGTGGCCAATCTATCCTCGTGCAGGTCTCTTCCATCCACTGAACCCACTATCCCTTAAGATTTATCCCAGCTTGTGGCCATGTCTCGGCTGCACCCCCTGCAAACATGTCAGCAGCTTCTGCCTCAGCTGTTGCTGCTGCTACCTCCCCAATCAACCACACTCTCAGAGCCACATCGGTTCCACCTCCCTCCGCCACTCCACACCTCTTCGCTGCACAGGTGAGCTGCATGCTCTTCCGAGCTTTCCTGGCGATAAACTACAGATTGCACAGGGTATTGTGAGCCCAAGTGACCCTTCTTCCTGTCGGTGCAGAAATCTGCTTTCCATGGCTCCTCGTTGTCGGAGCATAAGCGCAACTGCTCCTCGGCCGGGATGAAGAGTAACGGGGCTGTTGGAGGCAGACGAGGGCTTGTGGTTAGGGCAAAAACAGCGGGGGCATCCAAGAACATAGAGGTAGACGTCGACAAGCCCTTGGGGCTCACCTTGGGCCAGAAACCAGGCGGTGGAGTCGTCATTACTGTGAGATATCAATTCCCCTAGCTAGACAAGTACTTCTTCTTTTCTTCAACCTTTGTTGAGAATAGTTGATAGTGCAGAGTTGTGTGAGATTGGGAACTTCGTTGATGCGGTATGATCGTCTGATCTAGAACATCGTTACGTTCTCGTAATCTTTAATTTCGATAGGAAAGCGAATCCAGGATTAGAAAACTGATAAAATGAGAGAACGAAGAATGAAATCGTAAAGGTAAAGAGAAAAGCACGTTCCAATTAGTATCATATGAAGTCTATTTATACACGGTGAAAGAGAAGATTTCTTTAACTGAGCAGAGAGATTTCCTCATGCAGAGCAATTGAGGAAATCTCTCTGTTATCAAAAACTACACTTGTAAGGCTTATTTATGGTATTGATGGTGCAGAGCTGTGTGAGATTGGGTATTTTATTAATGTGATGTGCTCATCTGATACCGTATTGTTTTCATAATCTTTAATTTTGGTAGAAAGGCAAATCCAGCAGTGGAGAAAGTACTGTAAAAATGCACCGTATAAAGCTTATTTATGGTTCTTAGAATCTTGTCATGAAAAGTTGTGTGGATTCTTCATATTCTCTTTCAACCAAATGTGTTCATTTGGAATTTAAGCAGTAAAACGCTTACCACAAGAAAAGGATTGATATAAAATTAATCAAAGTGGTTGTTTAAGCTTTCCCCTTCCTTTTTTCTTTTGTAATTTTATGAATTGGATTTGTGGTGCTATGGGAAAAAAAAATTGAAGTCTTCACATTGAGTATCCGTGTGAATTCTGTGTCGTGGAATCGATGATACACTCTCTATCTTCATCAACAGTGATGAATTTGTTCGCGCAAAAACCGTAACAAGAATGTTGCAACCTATTATAGATAAAAACCATTATATTAATCTCATTAATTGCTGATGCCTATTGCAACAACATATAAGTCCTATCGTTTACTAGTTATTCAAGAATTGGATTCTTCGAGTAATTATCCAACACACAACTCTGAGAAATACCCTACGGAAATTCGAATGACTCATTCTTTATTTTGCATAAACGGTAAGCTCTTCTTGAAGTGTGAAGTTTTCACATTTAAGCAACACATAGTCAGAAGAAGTCTCATCTTGTTTAGGATTACACGTCTTTGGCTATGACAGGATTTGCCGCTGTTATCTTTCTTTTGGTCGGATTACAAGAATAATTTCACTACCATATGCTTAAGGAAGTCAGGTAAACTGATTGTGCTTTCATTTTTTCTATAATGAACTTTACAATAGAAGAGAAGAGGATAAGTCAGCAACTTTATAAACCATACCTAACTAAGCATTTTCTCGACTTGGCTGATTGTATCTAACATGATCCTGTTTTTAGGCGGTGGATTCTGGTGGAAATGCAGCAAAAGCAGGACTAAAAGCCGGCGATCAAGTCTTGTACACAAGCAGCTTTTTCGGCGATGAACTGTGGCCTGCTGACAAACTGGGATTTACTAAAACCGCTATCCAAGCAAAGCCAGACTCTGTTTATTTTGTAGTAAGCAGGTTATCATCTTCTGAATTCTTACGTTACAAGCCTTACAAAATTAGGAAGCAAGGAGAACACTAATTAGAGCCTTTTGTCCAATATTTTCTGTTTGGATGGAGGAGGAGGAGAAGTCAACTTGTCTTTCGATGTTTTAAGCAGTTGGTTCATGCGATTAAAATTGTTTTTGCTTCCCCTAATTACTTTCATATAAGCAGAGATGAGAAGTACATGATCTATATGTTTAATTGGCATGAAAGACTCATCAGGGACAGATACATCTAGAGTGAACACAAGTATGCTCAGAATTAGTAATTTGCAAGTTATATTAGTTACTAATCAGGTTCATCAGAAAATAATCATTCTGCTACCTCATGCATTTCTTTTTCATTCTCACAGGGGAGCAGACGTAGACGTAAAACGATTAACTAAGAGGCCAGCTCCTCCTCGCTTTGGTCGAACCTTGACAGAATCACAAAAGGCAAGCTAATTGTTTCATCTCAGGCTATTGTCTTGTATTGAATGTTCAGATCTATTTATACCAAACTGCATCTTGCTATTCGTGTTCATCGTACTGCAGCTTTTCCTCTTTATAATTGTTGTATGCACCTTGTGCAGGCTAGAGCGACTCACATATGCCTTGATTGTGGCTTTATATACTTTCTACCGAAGCCTTTCGACGAGCAGGCAAGGATAATTGATTCTGATCTTCTCTCATTGTTGCAACATTGTAGTTGTCTATCAATCACTGTCATTAGCAAAGCGTCGAGAGCTTAATTCTCTAAGAGCAATTTTCGGAAAATTAGTAGAACTCACTACGGTCTAAGGAATGAAGCATCAGTGTTTGATAAATAACCAATAAGTCCCCATGTCATTTGAATGTAATTATAGACCAATCTACAATTAATTACAGGGGAAGGTTCTTTTCTATTTGTGATTGTATCATTAAGAGTCCTTCACCTAACCTCAAGTGTTTACTACGTATGTAACTCACACTGAATTGAATATCAAATAAGAAAGAAGTTAGCCATGAAATCTATTGGTTAATATGACCAAAGACTATGCTTAGCAGGTTTTCGTAGATATAAGAATCTGATAAATGATGAATAAATGCAAGCTGTCGTATCAGAACTTTATTATGCCTTTGGAATCTTGCTAATTTCTTAATCTTGATAGGAGTTGCAATTTGCAATTCTCTTCCAATAATATCTTGAATAACAATGTCATCTATCCTAATGCACAATCCATATATTGAGAATCACATCACAGAAATCGAGTCAAATAGCTTATGACCCAAAATGTTTGTTGAATACAAGTGAGGGGGAAAATAATGTCTTCATACAAGATTGTTTATCATTATCCAGTACAGGTGTTTTGTGTTTGATGAAGAATTTTATATAACAAGTTAAACATGCTTCCCGGTAACAAAACCAGCTTCTTTTGCAGCCTGATACCTACATTTGCCCGCAATGCAATGCACCGAAGAAGCGGTTCGTGCGGTACGATGTGGAGACCGGAAAACCTATCGGCGGCGGACTGCCACCCATTGGGGTGCTTGTTGGCCTAGCCGTTGGGGTCGCTGCAGTTGGCGCGCTGCTGGTCTATGGTCTTCAGTGATTTGTGATCTGAATAAATATTGATGGTATCTGTTTGTGTGTGTGTGTGTGATTCTTATCTTGTGAAGCATCATCCCCGTTCCTCCTCACTCACTGTACTTGTTCCATGCTCATCATGGAGTACTTGAAGAGATTGTTCTCTTGGACATCTGCAATAGTATCATTGATTGTTAAGGGACGTAAACGGCTTCCAGACTAACACCTGCTCTCTTGTTGGAACCAGGAGCGAAGGAAGCATCATGGATTTTACAGTGAAGAAGAAGAGCTACTTTTCGATAAATATGACAACACCTACAAGATGAGGATTTGGGAACAAGAGAAATAAGAAATCAACATCATGCACTGGCACTGGACTGGGGGCTTCCATCTTCTGTAAAAGGCTGTTTGAAATAAAACTAGTATGACAATGGACCAAATCATAAGGATATATATATACTTGGATTAGATTAGAAAATAGAGAAGCACGCAATCTGTGTCTCGATAAACATAATTGAATGCCAAGTCTGATTCCCTCCATACCTCATTTCGAGTTCCAAACAGAAGAAGACTACCACAACACCTTCTGTTAAATCCAAAGATCTGCGCTGGAAAATAACTAAATTTTTACCTTTTGTGCGATGTCACGTTGGGAAGAATCCCCCCCCTTCCCCTTAGTTAATAACCGACCCTGTTGCATGTGATACCAACAACAACAACAACAACAACAACAACAACAACAACAACAACAACAACAATAATAATAATAATAATAATAAACAGGAATTTAAGAAAACTATAAACTCAACCACGAGATTTCCCGTTTCTCAACAGCAGCACCAGCTGTCACCTTCACAAAACCAAAAACTTCCACTTCATCTATCATATTATAATCAAATGTAATTACAAAAAAAAACAAAACAACAACCTGATTCCATTAAGGAATCTTTGTAGTGCTTTGACTATACTAGTGTTTTTATTGAAAGTCAAAATTCAAAAAAAGTCCAGTAGGGGTCCTACGAGAAGAAAGGTTGTTTTCACAACTCTATTTTGATCAGCTAAGTTGCAAAGGAATAACCCTATCATAATATCAAAATTCACCCATCAGATATGGAAAACATACAATGTTGGTGAGGATTAAATAAATATCCCATATAAAAATTAAAGCGGGCTCATAAAATCTAAAGCAAGTGGATTTCAGCAGAAGTAATTCCAAAGCTGTGTGATAGGTTATCCCGATGCTCCCGCAGCTGCTTCTTGCTTTTCAGAGTTGCCTTGTTCCTCTTTTGCAAACTCCTCGATCAGCATGCGTTGTCTCCGTGTCAAGTTCCTGCACGATAGACAGAATATAGAACAACAGATAACTAGCTAGTGAACTCAGAAGATTATTAAGATTAGACATGCAAAAAATAAATAGACTTACACTGGAATCACGACACTAAAGTGAACATATTGGTCTCCATAGTATGAACTGCTCCTCGTCTTTATTCCTGCAGACCATAAGCTCTATTTTAATATCTACCTCATTCTTTCACCTTTCCGGATAAAATTGACCTATCAGTAAATAGCACTAATTCTCGGCAAAGTAAAGAAAATTTAGTGGCATATCCTGGCTATGTTACCTTTTCCCTTCAAAACAACTTTCTGACCAGGTTGAGTACCAGGCTTAACCTGTAAACAAGCACACTCAGCACATTAAGTGCTTCGAAGCATTCAGATGATCCTACATGAAATCTCAAAGCTGAGTCCGACAAACCTTAAGAACTACATCTCCTGTGAGAGTTGGCACTTGAACAGTCCCTCCTAACATTGCCTGCAAGTTTAACATATTGTTGAAGTAACATTATTCTCAATCAAGGAAAAGGTCTCTCAAAAGGCTGGTTTGCCAAATGAACAAAGGATAAAAAGCTATTGTGTTAAGATATCAAAAAATAAAGCAGCATCCGGATCTGCTGCATTACATCTGAAGGAAAATCCTTGGGACCTACCAGAGAATGCATGCCTATGAGCAATGCCATTGAGTTGTCTAGGCAGGTGAAAAACAGAAAGTACATAGAAAAGGCTACATAGCTCTCTAATATTGGGCTGGTTTGTCAAACGGATTTATAAGAAACTGCAAGTCAGTCAACAGGTGCTTGTTACAGCTGTCAAGTCAGTGTGCTGTGAAGAGGAGTGGATTGTGTTCAAAACCTCCAGACATAGGATCTATGTTTAACTAGTTTCTAACCGATAATAACTAATAGAATGTGTTTCATAATGTGCACCACTATCAGTATACATTTCCATGACTCCCATATCATATCCTGTATTTTTTCTCCTGTTTCTCCTATCAGTACTGTTTTCGCTAGCAGGATATTTATTTTCAAAGCTGACACATTAAATTGGAGAGCAACCAACACACATGCATTATAATATTATACTGATAAGACACATGATAACTATGAAGATATAGTACATAATGTTACTGTCCCTGATCAAACAAAAAAAAATGAATTTCAGACAAATTGGATTCATTTTCCAGTAGTCTTACCAACTAGTGCAGAGAAGGGCAAAGGCAGGAAAAAACTTCAAACCTAAGAATTCAGTGTACCATATTTTTGGTAGAAAGGCATGTAACACATCGGTTCCTTCCTATAACTCGATGGAAGCAATGGAACCCAGACAAAACCCCTTTAAGTTCAAGAAGCATGATTGATGATGAAGGTTACAGAACAAAAGCTCTAAATACCTGAGTGACACTTAGAACAGTATCAACAAGAATATTGGCTTTGTCCCTGCGGAAAACAGGATCCTCCCGAACCTAAAACAGGATTTGAGAGGATTAGCATGTTCACCTTTTAGTTCAGTGATGTACAGCATTATAAACAAGTCGCCAACCTTAATAGTAACATAGAGATCGCCGGGTTGATTGCTCTCAGGATCAGCACCACCACTTCTGTATATTTTAATAGTTTCATTGTCATCCACCCCTGAATATACAAATGTGATCAAATAAGCTATGTACCACATATATTGTTATGCAAACTAAACTAAGATAACACGAACAAGCATAGACACATTGTACTCAGTCTTCTATGTTCAGTAAGGAACCAATGCTTCCATGACAAGTGGTTACATTTTCAGTTATTAAATCAACAAGTTGGTTGTAACAAAAAAAGACAATTCACATATTCTATAGATTACAATAATTGTTCTTGGATTGATACAAACACTAAAAATTGAAAAATAAGAAGCGAGCAAAGAGTAGTTTTTATTGAAACTTCCATCGGAACCACTTGTGTGCTCTTTCACCCAGCTAGATGTCAACTGCACAAGCAAGTTTGAGAACAGAAGCAGCAAAAGCTAGCATGTGCCATAAAAACAGATGTTTCATAGAGGCAAGCAGATTCAAATTTGGCATCCACCATAAAATTTCTTCTTATATCAATTGCTCATAAATTTCTTCATATTGGTTCGCTTTAGAGATAGAGAAGAAAAATTTATGGAATAAATCCAACATACCAGCCATCACATCCACTTTAACTGACTTTGTTCCTCCAACAACTCTCTGTCCTTTGCATGATTTGCAGAAGCTCTACAACATAATAGAAAAATGGAGTTTCATCATCAAGCATATTTTTGCTATACAGAAGAAATTTGTGATGTCATCAAATGGACCTACAATATGTGGACATGTTTACTATTAAATGCATATTCATCATGAGTGAAACCTGACAATAAGGAATGACTTCACTACACTAATTTTTTTCTGACTAGACCCCTTCATTATGTCAAGTTCCACATTAAGCCCTTGGATGCCTGGTACCAATTTGAGAGCTAACCACCTAGTGGAGCATCCAGGACTTGAATACAAACAGTCAAATCACAAGATAATTATATACTTATGCATGCAGATGTTTTATATAAAAATATACATACATCTATGTATTGTCAAAGAATAAGATTATTTTAATGAAATTAAAACTCATGATGCATTTGTTAATAGACACTCTGATTAAAACCTAACAAAATACAACTAAACAGATAAAGCTTAACAGCCAGCGCCCTTTCATCTTCAAAGTTCCTCTTCTAACACAATATTTACTTATCATGACATCTAATTTTCAAGAATTATCTCACAGTGAACCTTCAAACAGCTGTTTTAAACATTTTTCTCAAGATGCTTGTTCAGCTAAAATCTCAGTTCTAAAGTGTGCTCCTCTTGTTTTATGCAAACCATGCCAACTTTCCATGGAAGAATATTTTGAGACTTGATATAAGTACAAGATTTCATGATAACCATGAATTCACTCAAGAATGCAAGCATGCAGAAGGAATGTGGTTTGCCATGTTCCGAGTCGAGACATACACAAGATTTCATCTTAAAACAAATTGATACATAAAACATATTTACCTTTACATGTTTCCCAGATCCCCCACAGTGTGAACATGTAGTCTGCAACCTCAAGGGACCATTTTGCATGAAAATCTGTGGACATACGAGAACACCACAGTTAACTGTAGGAAACGTCACTCAATAGAAAAGATAAATGGAGCATGATATTTTATTGTCTAACCATTCCTGAGCCTCTACAAGGCCTACATGTTTCAGGTCTGGTTCCAGGAGGAACACCAGTCCCACCTGCCAAGAAGGAAAAAGTGTCCATGGTGTCACTGTGTGTTGGTTAAAGGTCTCAATATTTATTTAATTGGAAATGGTAGCTTTCTTGAAAAAAGAATGTCATACCACAGGCATTACAATTTACAGGAGCCTGAAATGTGACTGTTTTTGTGCACCCTTGAACTGCTTCCATAAATGATATTTCAAGAGAAACCTACCAAAGAAAATGCCAAAAATATTTGGCAACTGGTCAATTATGAGAGAAAGTGCATATAACAATTCATCAGAGACAGCAGATATAACAAGAATGAATAGTAGAAGAGAGAGAACCTTGACATTTTGTCCTCCATAATCTGTATCTCTGAACACATTTTTGAAAAACTGGGTACAGAAACAGAAGAAACAATAAGAATGCATATTTGCATCCATACGTTTGTTATGCATGACTCGTACAAATAACTGAATAAGTTCACTGACTTTTGAGAACTTCAACTGTATAGACTTGTGCATCAAATCAGATCCTCAGGATTGTATAAGGATACAAAAGCGAGTACATACAAACGACGCTTTTGTTCAAAAATTGCAGCTGAGACTGCTAATATAGCTATCTCGGGTCAACGAAAACTATCTCATTGTATCATCCCAAATATATATTAGATATACATACACTAAACAAGGACATGTGATGCAGATAGAAAGACCATAAAGAAAAGTCTACATACATCATTCATGCCGAAGATGTCTTCAAATGGATTGCCAAATCCAGAACCAAATGGTCCACCTGGCCCATCAGGCCCACCACCCGAAGCAGCTTGTTCAAACGCATTGGGACCAACCTGTCAGGTATCATGTTCATAAATACTAAACCAGAAAGAAGAGCCCACAGCTACACAGGAACCTACACCTGCTCAATGAAGGGTTCAACTGAAATACTAAGCATGCAGGATAGGTAGAATTGGTAATCGAACTATAGCTGACTTTGAATCCTAACTTAATCCACAAGCACGCTCCTGTTTGGGCTAGCCACAAGCCACATACTAGATTATAACTATAAGGTCTATTATTCTATTGCAGCAAATTAAATACTTAAAACCATGCAAAGGATACAATGGAATCCCTGTAGAAAAAGTATATGGCACTATGGCAGAATTCTGATAATAGATTTAACAAATAAAGGGGTTTCTTATGTTAATAACATTAAATACAATATAATGAATGATAGAATAGTCACTGGTACTATGACAACAAGAGGAGAGACCAACAAGTTCAACAAAATTAACATCATCTTCAAAAATGGTTCAAGTGTCCTGTTTGCAGAAAGATTAGCTTTTGTTTAACCTATCCAAGGTGCTTTTTAGACACTTCAAGGTACTCCATGGAACATGGTACTACAGATTTTGCTACTATAGAGCATATTGATTTTTCACTTTCACTAGGAAGACATAATAACTGTTCAACTGAACACTTATTATGAAAGATGCAAGAAGAATCCTTCTCTAATCTAAGTTAGCACAGCTTTGTATCCAAATGTCCACATGAGATGGAATCGGTACAGAATAATTTGCCAATGAACAATTTATTTGTGATTTGAAGATAATATCTGCATCAGCAATGGATTTTGTATGTGTTTTCTGTTCTTATGAATTCTTTTGCTTCCCCCCTTTTCCATTTCACACTCGCATTCTCTTTTCTTCTATCTCATTCTGTTCACTCTAAACAACACAGTGGTAATAACAATCATTAATTGAATCAAAGAAAAGTGTGCACACATAATAAACAATCCAACAATAACTACTTGCAGTAAATATCCATCAAATAGTATAACAAACAGAACATGCAAAGAGGAGGGGCACGACACCTGATCATATAGTCTTCGTTTGTCCTCATCTTTCAAGACCTGGGAAAGGCATACTTCATGTTTTAATGCTTTTGGCATTTTAATTAGACACCTAAATTTCCTACCAAATCAGATCAGTTTTTTTATCACGTGTGCTTAAGACATATCTAAGGTTATTTAACCTCATAAGCATGCTGAACTTCTTGGAACTTCTTCTCTGCATCAGCATCATCCTTGTTGGTGTCTGGATGGAGTTTCTTGGCTAGCTGCATAGACAATATACCTATTGATTTTACAGAATCTAAAAACTGGACATGCTTCATGCTGTAAGGACAAAGAGAAATAATGACTTGAACATGTGCACTGTGTTTGTGTACTCATCATTCTTCCTACAAATACTCAAGAATACTGCCAGGCAAAGCATCAATTTTCATGACAGACAACCATCTGTATTATCATTGACAGATATCATTGACAGAGAAATTTGCAGACGGATCAACATCTATACTTAACTCATTATTACAGAACAGATATCAAACGATTCTAACCAAAACCTTTATTTCCACACTAGCAAACATTCTTCATTAGATCTTGCCAAAGGACATTGAGTTCGCATCACATCAACTTTGGATTGACATTCTATTGGAAAATAAAGTAGACAATCTACTCTCTACAAAACCAATCACCATTGGTGAGGAATTGACAACTTTTGTCTGTCGCTAAGTCTCTTCGAAGGGTTTTCAAACATGTGCAGAACTCCTTTGTTGGGTAACTAAGAGAACTGGAGTGTACTATATTTCGCCCAACTCTCAAGAGTTAAAAAAGCTAAGAGTACTTGACTTAGCCTGCCTCCTCGAGAGTTATACTTTGTGCATTAAATCGGTTACTAGCCTTCACCTGCTCTTTATTCACACTTGAAGCACCTGAAATGTTTGCACTCCTTACGTTGAGTTAACTACTGTAATTTGCCTTCTCATTATCACTTAACTTTTAGAGTGCAAGAAGTTTTGCTCGAAAAAAATAAAATTTTATCGACTGAAGCGAGTCTCTGTTGGTTTTGGTTGCCTCTGGGGCTGTACCGCCTTCTCCATCATTTTTGTCACCTATCCTCTGAGCAGAAAGAGTACAGCACCGTGTACATTCTTTGGCTGAGCACTCTTGCATTGACCCAAACCCGAAGTCCCCCAATTTTGGCTATCTTAATGAGAAGCACGTCGACATCAGTATTACGAAGTTCCTCGACCTCTATCTTTCTGCCTTGTCTTAGTACTTGGAGTTAACCTCTGTCTAGCTCCTCGACCCCTTCCACGACCATGCGCTCTCCCACCATGAGAGTAAGGGACCGATGACTTCACAAAAGTCTCGCCTCTACAATACGATAGTGCTACCATGGCGATGATTACTATTCATCTCCTTGCATCTATGTCCCTTTCTTCACGATTGATAGATTTGCCTTTGCAATACTGTAGCACTCCTCCGAGTCCAACTTTAACTTAATCGATGCTTGGTGTTAGGTAGCTAAATCCCTTTAGACTCATCATCGCTTCCTCGCCACTTTCCACCACCTGCTTCAACACCTCTATGCTCTTCGAGCAATTCCCCGTAGTCGATCAAAAGACAAACTGCAACTTCTATGCATGGCTCCGCTATCATATTGCAATGGTCACATCGATAACGTTCTCCTTTGTGTCCTCGGTAGTAACATTCACTCACTCGGCCTTGTCCTCCGACTTGCCGAGCTCCCTCGAGTGATTCTAGCTCTGAAGCAGTTCAACTCTCCAACTGCTCCGAGCATACCTCTATATGATCATGTCCCCCCAATGTGACTCACTAGTGATTGCTCTCAAAATCCATCTCGGTGGTACACAACACTCATATGCTGATGACTAAGGTTTTTATCTGACATAATATCCGATGCATGCGTAGAAAACCCGCCTTTGCAATGTCATGGCATTCACTCCTTCAATCCAAAACCCTTCTTGTCGTTGTATTGTTCATCGAAGTGATACTCCTAATAGCTCCCAATTATATCTTCGTATAATCAAGTCCCACATGGGACTTCTCCTGTGTGTGATATTGCCTTAAACTGTTCCACCATGATCCACTGCACCATGTCGCTTCCTAGTGACATCTTCATTGTATTCTAATCTTTGTATGATGAACTCAGACTATGATCTCTCCATGTGTGGCCTCCGCCACATTTGATTATTTTCGTCCCTTTGGCAATCAACCTTCGTCCACCCGCTCTCGTGTGACACACGGACGAAGTACAACTCTTGGACAATCCATCGCCTAGTAGCTCTCGAAGTCCATCAAGTTTGTTGAAAATTAGTGTGCCATTGTCTGGATCTTGGGCCCCTACGTCTAACATAATCTCCATTACGCACAGGTTCCTTCGCGACAGCTCAATGGCAACACTACAATATATGCTTCAAGAGTACCCACCTCCGTGTCCTCTTGACCCGCGTTAAGACCTTTTGACTATAACTTCGCCTCTGCAAGTTCAGTCACTTTAGTCCCTCCATCAATTGCTTCTGAGATAAGGTGCAAGTGCCTCAAAGTTTCCTTCATCTTTGGCACCATACAAGATGAGTCCACTCCATCAAAACGACAAACCCATGGAATGAAATAATCTCACTCTTTGCCTCTGCAAAAGTTCATGTGCTTGACCTCTGTCCAAGGAAAGCTTCACGCATCCACTTTATTATCTATATACTATTTTGACTCCCTTCATGCAACTTAAGCACTTCACCAAGTTCCACCCAAATTGTTTCGCTCCTTGATTTGCATTGAGTTGATGGTGGCCCTTGCGCCCACCAATCCACAGGTCAACCTTTCATTGAGTATAATCTCTACATCGGCTCTAAGTGTACCTTTGCTTAGTGTTGTCTTGGGTTACTCCCCCACTTGATCTCACAAGGCATCTACCAATGCATTACCCTCATGCGAGATCATATGACGACTCCTCACCGCTTGCTCGATCCATTGAGCTTTATAGAGATATTGTCTTGAGGTACCCCCTCAATATGTGCAATCTGTTGCACATGGTTCTCCCTTTGGAGAACCGGGGCTTATACCTTATGGATATTTATCCCATTTGAGCAACTTTTCTATTCAAAAGTCCTTTTCTCTGAAAGTTTCGGAGACCACCATCCCCTTGGACTACTCCGCCTCGCTGAACAAACTGTGTATTGTTTCATCATTACAAATGCACTTGTTAGATTATGACTCTTCACCAATACAAGCCCCACTGCACCCCTCAAGGCCTAGTAACATGTTGAACCTATTGCATACTTCAGCCTCCTACGAACGTATCCTTCACATCCCGTAGAGAGTTTCGATTGCCTTGGGATGGCCACAAGCAATCTATTGTCCATATATAAGCCATTGCATGAGTACCAAATTCTTCGAGTTAGCAATTCTCATCACCTCTATGAGCTTTGTACAACTCTTTCAGTAGCCAAGCAACTCATCCCTCCTTACACGATCTCATCCTTTGCCAAGCACCCCCGCTTATCTTGAGTACCATCAAGTTTACCAATGTTGAGTTTTACTCTAACTCAGTCATCCCAACCTTTGTGCGCTATGCGTTCTTCCTAGCTCTCTTGTCCTCGTGGTGTCACTCACACAAAGAGGTGGCCAATCGTCTGAATACCAATCTTGAATGCCCGCTCCTCTAAGAAACTCTTTTCCCTACATCTCTACGCCCCCTTCTCTCAAACAGTCGCGTCCTGACCGCCCTCAATGCAACCCCGTAAGGTCTCCATGTTTGCATGTCAAGTGTTTCTAAGTGTGTCCATCCTACTCTAATACTATATGTCACGAACTTAACTAGTTTTGCTTAAGTCGTGTGACACTCTTACATGTCCATCTGAAAATAGTCAGACTCTCTGAAATCTCTTATGGTCCCTTAGGGACCTACAAAAGAGAAAACAGATTAGAGGAAGCGCTTAACTCGAGATTCCACAAGCAAACACTTCAGCAAACACTTAATGGGTCATGCAAATTACAAACATAAATTTCGTAAGCTATAAACGATTGGACAACAAAAGGTCCAACGTGATTCGCCATTGCCAAAAACCCCCACAAGTACCCACATGACACTGTTGCGGAACAAGACAGTGAACCAACCCTAGACACTACCCCAAAAGCCCATTCGATTATGCCACTCAATTAGCTCCAAGGTGTTATGTTAGTTGACACTCTGCACCGCTCTGTAAAGCTAGAAAACTCCCAAAATGATTGTTTGGATAGTTTGTTTTTGAGCAGTTTTGCCTCTGTGCAACGACTACATACAACTTGTGTTTATAGGAATAAAACGACCACAAAGGCCAACCAAAGTTATTAGGTAAAGCATAGAAAATAGAATCTAGTGACAATTCCAACAACATCAACTTCAAATGTGATCGCCATCTAGCATCCTCAAACTCTCACAGAACCTTTCCGGTGACTAATTACAGGTTATCACTAAATGAATCAACTCCTATTCCCTAAAAGTTCACGAAAGGTCAATAAGTAAAATTCAAATGTCAACATATGATATATCAACAGTCAATTTATAATGCCACTCTTCATGGCTCCTAATGTAATTTTGGTGTGCGATCATGGTCGACCAGTTCAAAATAGACGTGCATTATTGTTTTTAGTTTATGCTTATTGTGAAATTTTTATATCATTATGAAAAATGCAAGAAATGTGGCACTATGCTTGTTGTAACACGCACTGAAGGTATCAAAAACCACCTCATTAAAGAACTATGTAAACAACAAACCATAATCAAACTCCAGTTAGAACTGTAAGACTAAATACGAAAAGCACCAACACAAGAAGCGCACAACTATTATAAAATGATCAAAAATCAGAAGTAGCAGTTTACAACTTGGAAACCTACCGCATAGTAAGCTTTCTTGATATCTGAAGCACTTGCGTCCTTGCTCACACCAAGGACATCGTAAAAATCCCTCAAAAGCAGTGATCGTGTTCCTATCCATCACAAAATGCAAAATCGCAAGCGAAAACAAAACGTCTTCGTTAATCACATTGTAAAAGAAAATAATCTATTCCCTGATTCAAAGAGAAGCATAGTATGCCATACCATGAAATGACCTGCTCGGGGAAAAAAGGCTGCGGAAAGCACCATCCAATGTTCCTCGTTTCGACCTCGCTACACAAATTACGACTTGATCGCATTCAAGTCGAAAAAAATATAGACTTTACAGTATTACTAGGAATAAATTATAGGTTATTCCATCATCCCCAATCCCACAAAAGCCCGGCTCACCTGCCTCGGATCTTCCATTCGTAAAACTCCTACAGGAACTGCACTTGCCCGACGCTAACCGGCATGAGGAGTCCTCCAACTGCAAAGAAGCAACAAAACATGAGATCTCCGGAACCGAGACACGTAAGAAGAAGACGACGAAACAAAGGGGGAAGTCGATCTCACGGAAGGAATCGGCGAATCCTCGATGAGCTTCGATCGGAGGGACCTCCGGGCGAACCAGAAGACAAGCCGCGCGCCTCCGGTCCTCATCGTGGGTGAAAGTGACGTCGCCGGAGCTCAGCCGTGGAAATCTAGAGTTCCACCGCCTAGGGTTTAGCGGAGGGGCGCGTCCGAGACCGACGCCGATATGTTGGCACAGCGGGTGTCGTTCGTGGGGAAGTAGCGTCGTAATAAAAGTGTCAATTAGGGTACTCGACGCTATATTCACCAGTACGGTCAGTCATCCTCCTCGATGGCAGGGCTGTCCACTACTGAGTCCACGAGGGACCCTATGGTACATCGGTGGGTGTGAGGGAACTCTGTGACCGTAATTTTAAGCTGGACCCGGAAAGTTCTGGAGAATCCGCACGTGGGTCTACAAGGCCTCAGCAAGCAAGTTGATGGACCGAGTGGGATCCATTATGCCAGCCCATCAGCCCAATTATGAGCGATTCATAAATAAATAAATAAATAAATAATATGTTTATTTGTGGTACCAAATTGAATAGAGAGGTTTTTTTATATTTATATAAAGCAAAAAAAGTAACACTATATAACATTAACCAATAAAAAAAAATGGAAGAGCTAAAAGGCTCCGTAGAAAGCCAAAAACAAAACATGGGGAGCGACTTGCCCTACAAAAATTAGCATGACTGTGAGCAATAAGATTAAGTGATCTGCAAAAATGATTGAAGAATGCTGCTACATTCAACCTGACAGTTTAGCTGATAGAAACTTTGACTATTGATATCAAGGTTTGAGGATCAAATCACATCTTCATCACCTACCGTTTGCAAATGCAAAAGAAAGAAAACATCACAAGTCTTTCTTCTCTTTACACAACAAAAAACACTGGTTTTCCTTTACATCAACAAGATATCATCATCTACTTTGCATAAACAGTTCTGTATAATATACATGTTTTTTGGAAAGAAGAATCTTCAGTAATCAAAAGTAGCTGAAGATAATTAGAGAGTTATCTGACAAAAAACTGTTAAATTCAGCTCCCCAACAACGACCAAACTTAGCGGAAATCTTGTTGTTTATATTGACTAAACTCCACCATTTAACCTCTTGAGAGAGCTTCAAAATATCAGCTCTGTAATGTGCCATTTCAACCAGAGCACAGGAAGACGCACTTGTGCAAGAGGTGGTGGTGTGAGGACCAAGTTCTTCCCAGTACCATTGCTGCAGTTTCATGCAGATACCCACCTGCAGAGGAAGTCATTTCTGGAGCAAATATCAAAGGAGAGAGCGATGAACACAAATATTCAGATTCAAGTAGCATATTCAGGTGGAAGACCATAGATGCATTCTCAATCTACAGAAAGATAGGTGACTCACCTAGATTCACTGGAAGGCATCTCCTTCAAACGCTTCGAGGCGTAACGATCCACAGGCTGATTACGATTTGCAAGTTGCACCTGAAAGAAACCACATATCAACAAATGGTACATATTGTGAGAAGAAACAAGTACACATAAGAAACTGATGTATGTGCTGATGGTGCTCAAAGTATCGTTCTCATTGAACATGATGGCTGCTGTGTCTCAGCCTTTTGACTTGCATGGCAACATGGACACAAGGATTACACTTTACCTTCAGTAGCTAACTGTAGAAGACAGCATAACAAGAGCTAAAAAGATCTTTACTCGAAAGATAATGAAGCATATACGCTTAGTTAACTATATAAGCGTTTTAGTAAGATATGCAAGCATATAAGGTTAATTAACCAGGTGAACACTGAAAGTTTACTAGCATTTCAATCCTATCAAAGGTATGCATTATGTCAAGGATAAAATTTTCACTACTACATAGTACAAGATAATAAAAAAGAAGGTTCAGAGTACAAGGCTCACATCAGCGCAGGATAACATTATATAACATAGTACAAGCCAAATTTACAGTGAATTCATTTCAGAAATTCCAAAAAATGCGATTTTAGCATATTCTGCAAGAGCCCTAGAATATAAATGTACCATTCCAAAGAATGTATTGTACACAATTTTTTTATGTTTTATGGAGTTGATATCAATTTGATCCAAACATAACACTCCCCTGATGCTATTCTACCGGCACAAATTATTCCATAAACATGCTGCTCTGATTTGTAAGATCAAACATCCAAGTGAGTCTTTGCTCAATCACAAGCAGACCAAGAACCAAATCACCCTCAACATTCCTGACTTAGATTTCACTCTCAGGTGATACGTACCAATCGTGTTGTTGTAAGATCAAAGCATATGTTACAAGGTCATGAAAGAGCTAGACTAATCAGGCAAAGCAGTTCCTCTTTCCAAGTTGTTCTTGATCTCCAGAGTGTATTTTCCAAAGGCTCTCTCGATCTTCTTATTGAAGTGCTCGTTTCTATCATTGATTGAATCAATGTCCTTCTCTTCGTGGAACTTCCGCCTCCTGCTAAATGACTTGCGCTTTGCTTCCCTGTCCTGAAGTTCCTTTACCATTCGGTCAATGTTTTCCTCAGGGATTTTGGTTGCCTGCGCAAGAAAAACAGATGGAACCAGATTACTTGCTGTATAATTTTTACCAATGTCAGCAGGGTCCGGTTAGTATCTGTGATGAGGTACCTTGCCATACTGAAGACTAGAAGCCTCACGATAGAACTCTGGATCAGCTTCCTTTGCTTCGTTATATGCCTCCATATCACACTCAATGTTCTTTACCCGCTTTTTGTGAGCATTGTAGAGTGTTTTCTGGTTAAAAACTGTTTAAAAAATTTTTTGAGTTGGCCAGCAGATATTAGATTGAAGCTCCAAGAAAAACTGGGATGTATTCAGAACAAAGAACAAGCACATAAAAATTATACATATATATGCATACATACATATACATATATACATACATATACATATATACATACATATATACATATATATATATATATATATATATATATATATATATATATATATATATAATTCTGGTAAGAGACCTCAAAATTAGTGTTGCCTCCATGTAAAACTTGACAGGACTACATATTCTAGATTTCCTTTGCTATAGATATCTTACAGCTAACTAATATATCTTGATTTCAAATCAGGAAATCAAACAAATATGTCATGCAATGATTAATCATTAAAACCTAATAAAATTTCAATGTGGTCCGACTGGCAAATGAACAACAGAAGAAATTAGAAGTTTAGAACAAACTTAGAAACTCTGGTCTACGTTGGAACCTAGAGTACAAAAAAGAAAATAGACAAAATATATTTTGCCAACATAACTTAAGAATGTTAGCCAGCAACAAAGCATTAAACTGGAAATCGACAAAGTATAATAATTTAGATCTTACCATCCCAACCATATGGTGAAGGATCCTTTTCCCACTTCTTATACTTAGCTTCAGCCATCTCTTGTGTATCAAGCATGTAGGCCTTAGACATATCCAAGCCATTTGAATCAAGCAGCTTTCCAATCTTTTTCTTCCTTTCCTCGAGCCATTTTTGCTTCGAAATGCCCCTTGCCTCTGATGGAGCTTCCATTTTCTTTTTCTCAGCTACCATTGCCATCTGATTGGCCTTCCTTGCTTCATTCTGCAAATGTAAACAACATAAGGGGAAAAAGGAGATATAGGAAGCAATAGTTCAGATACATCAAACATCATAAAGCATATGAAGGGTTGCATTACCATCTTAAGCCTCATCTCGAACAGTTTTTTCTGCTTCTCAGTGAGATTAGGATTTCCAGATTCAGGATCATTCTGGACATGATGAGCATCACCACTATCATTCTGGTTAGCACCATTGAAGGATGAAGTAATGTCATCCTCTTGTATGTCTATAATAAATTTGACTTTCATCATGTCAGAAAAATACATCCAAAACAACCATAAGACATTAATAATGATAACAATAGACTGCAATTAAATTCCTTAGGTGTTTGATTAAATATGACTCAACATGCAAGGTTCGCAATACCGTACCGTACCAATGTTTCGACTTGGGCTCGGTACCAGTATGGTACGGTATACCGAGCGGTATACTCAGGTGTGCCGAGTACTGTAGCACTACTACAGTACTACAGTACACTACTACAGTGCTACAACCTATCGGACCGGTACGTACCGCCCGTACCGGGCGGTACAGTTCGGTACTACAGACCATGTCAACATGAACCATGTCTTGAAAAACCATCGATAAATACAATGTATGACACTTATACTGAGAGGTGCCCACTCATTTATGTCACTAGCATTTATCTGGAACACCTCGCAATGTACAGAGGTAAAACAATAAACTTGCACATAAAAGCAAAGGCTGCTCGATGGTTTCCATTTTATGTATCTTCTTTTTGTCAAGCTGTATTCTTGTTATCAATCTTTCAGTTTCATCTGGCGAGGTAAATTTTCAGATCCCATCACAGGAATAATCCCAGTTCATTGTATATGGATATGGAAATGTACATTAATATTAATATATATTCAAGCAAAAGTTAAGATGTTTCCTTTTGTGTGGATTCAGTTTCTAGTCTGATCTACCAACTCCCCTCCAACCCTGCACACCTCCCGGCAACAGATCTCAGCATGTTAGAGAAGTTTATCTTACTTTCTTTTACTTGTTTATCTAATCATCTTAGACAGTGATTACAGATTAGGCTGCTCTAATCATGTTTGTTACCAGTGAAAATTATTTTGCTTTCAGATAACTAATTTTAGGGGCCTAGCAGTTGGAAACTCCAGCGGTAAAAAAACCTTTAATCTAGTTTTTCAAATCCATATATCATGACCGTGAGACTTATTATATACTGGCATCAATTTGATGGCGATCGCAACATGAGACACAATGTGATACAGGAGCAAAACTCATTGTACAATAGGCTAAAATCTGCCCATTTTATAATGGAGAGTGCTGAATTCGATATGTGTTGATGGAACTTTGCTTACACAGCAAAATTGTATTCTCTCGCAAACTGATGCTACCAACATTTCTTACCAAAATGTTGAATTATTGTACAATAAAGTTTGAGACTTTGAGTAAATAATAGAATGAAAATATCAAATGAACAGGAAGAATTATGCTGCAAAATGCTAACATGATCTCAACTATTTAAAATACATAACCAAATGAAGTGAAATCAACCTCAATCAACTCGTTGAGTGATTTATAAAGCTAAAAATGGGGAAGCGGATCACAGAATGAATCCATGACAAAAATAGTGTTGTCATTTCTTAAAATATTTATAATGATAAGTGTTATCATGGAACCCTCCTCAACTATTTGAAGTGTAGGAACATTAATAAAAGAAACCGAGGTTGTCATATGATATGTATAACCCGGCATGTCAGCATCCGTGTTAGCACAAGTCCACATGTGGTCATCCATGTCAACATCCAGGCATGTCTCGACTCAACATCCACATTAAAGTCCAACCCACCTCTTAATCGGCAACAACTACATCGGGTCATGTCACCACAACCCCAAACCAACATGCTTGTGGTTTGTTCTCAAAACCCAAATTCTTTCCTATGAGTAAGAACCCTTGAGATATGTGACACTCTCTAGACCCCAAATCAGCCACACAAAACCAACTTGAGTGTCAAAGGGTTTGTGGGGAACAACCCGATATGACTTTTGCAGGTCGAGCACCCGCAGTCATTTTTTGCTTTAACTCTTTCCCTGAAGTGCTATCTTCTCCATGTGACTGTCCCTGAACCAGGTCGAACCCACTTTCTTTTGACGAGTTCTGATTACAGGAAGCATCAAGAAAAGAACTATGCCTGCCACAGCATCTCACGATTCAGGAAATAAGCCATGACTAAACTATCGACCCTTCATATCTACTAAAAAAGCTGCAACCTTTTAACATTGAAATGAATATTTATTTGTAAAAGAGGGGACAAAAGGAACCTGATTCATTCCTCTCAATTTGATCCTTCGCCTCAGAAATCCTTTTAAAGCAGTACTCGCTGCACTCATGGTAGGGATTGGACGCGTTAACGCAATCCGGATGAACAGTTCTCTCTTCCGGCTCCTTCGAGCTATCCTCATTCTCCCCTATAATTAATCGAAAAAAAGGAAAAAGAATTCTAATTCGCCACACAAATAATTCTGAAGCAAAATTAGGAGCAGGAGAAGGAAGAAAGAAACTTTACCCTCATCGGCGTGAGATTTGGCTTCGGCTATTCGCTTGAAGCAGTACTCGACACACTCGTGGTAGGGATTAGAGGCGTTGATGCAATCCGGATGAGCTTTTCCTGCCCCCTCCATCCCCTTTCGTTCTGCTCCGTCTCCTTTGCCTTCCCCTTTCGGTCTGGGAGAAGAGATGCAAGGTAGGAAGAAAACCTCATCCCAATGAAGCCGGGGGTATACTAAGGGCTATTTAAAAATTTTCTAGAACCCTTTTATATTATTTATTTTTTTATAATAAATTAATTAAAAATATTACAAGCGTACATTAATCGTTTACGATATTTTCTCTCACTTAATCTATCAATACTTGTTTTCTAGCTCTTAAGTAGCTTTTGTTCGAGAAATTTTTTATCGTTTCACTAAGTACTCGATGTATTATATTCCGTTAAATAGTTTTATTATATGATTCGTTAGAATGATTTTAACTTACTTTTTATAAGGTGCTCAAATAAGATAGTCGAGTTGAAATATTTCTAGATGTATCTTATGCATCTGAATTATAGCTTTTTAAGTTGCTTGAAATATATTATAGATTTTAAGCCATACTAAAAGTTATAATTTGTATAAAACATTAGTTGTCGATGATTGTGAAGGGCCCTTTATATTTGTGCATCAATTTGTCATTTTTTTTATTTTTTTATCATTTTATTTTATTCTCTGCATATATTTATGTAATATAAGTTGAATGGTTGCTAATCGATAATAATTTCAAAGTGGCTTTTATTGAATGTAGACTTTTGTTATAAGTTATAAGAGAATTGTGATATGCCCAACAACTTTATCTAATATTGATAGTTGACCCTCACATAGTCCAAAAGTATTACTCTAAGAGTCAATTTATTCCTTCAGTTCGATTATTTGTCTGAGGGTGAACATTTGTGTATAACTTAGATCTCAACAATTTAAATATGTTGTTCCAAAATCATCCTAAGAATCACTCGTCTCAATCATATATGTGACTCTCCAATATTTCACCATATTTTTCATCATTAATTTGATAGTCTTATCCGTCGAGTAATTTAGATTAAGAGCACTAATAAATGTTACATACTTTAATAATCGATCAATCATTATATGTATCGAACTTAGTCCTTATATTAGCAAGATTAATATGAAGTTCAAAGAAATACTCTCTTATGACCTCAATGATATAGGTAATGGCTTAAAAGGACTCGTCGACTTTTATTGTTCTATATTATCTTATTTACATGTGAGACACATTCCAATATAATTTTGTATGTCAATTCTCATCTCTGACTAATAGAATGTTCTCTCCACGAGAACTAGAATTCTATGAATACCTTGATGCTTATCCTAAAAAGGATCACGACACTCCCTTGGAAGTTCACAACTCAAAACTTGTTCTAATATCAAATATCATTGGAATTATTTAAGTAATCTCATATAGGACTTGATGGAATGCAAAAGATAAAGTTAATTAGATTTATGAAAATGAGCAACAAATGGAAAGCCTAAACAAATAGGTAATCCAATAAATACTTAGAGAAAGGGAAAACAATGACAAAAGAAAAAGCTTAAGTCGACAAATGAAAACAAACTTAAATTTATGCACATTTTGTGTACAAACTTATAAAAACAAATAGGACCAAATTCTACTCCAAAGCTCATCTAATCTAATCCTGTGCCACTTAAAGGTTATATGCGACTGAGATCATTGAAGCTTGAGATCACAACTTTGTAAATTACCAAATAATTGTACAACCAAATGTAAATGACAAATGATCCATTAATAGTGACACCCGTCCTCGTAGCTAACGAGTCTTGTGCCGTTCTAAGCTCCCGTCCTCCCATCAACATTTCGTTTGATATAGAAATCCTACTTAGTCCAAGTGTCATTTCTCTCTCTCTCTCTTTTTATTTTTTTTTTATTTTGGAGAAATGTATTAATCTATCATTGCTTGATGCCAGTGCGGATGTTTAAGAGAGCCTAAGGAGATAGATTTTTCGTTAGATAGATATTAATTCTTTATTATCTTCTCTTCGTTATACAAAAGTTGTGATCTCACTGCTCCGCTCGCGTGCATCTCACGCGCCGCATGCTTATTTATTTATTTATTATATATATATATGGGGTTAAAATCCGCAAAACCAAAGGCTCCCCGCCACCTTCGCGGCTCCGTTGCGCTCCTCGAATGGCGCCCGCGTCCTCCAACTGTTCAGCCTCCTCCCTTTCTGACCCTCGCTGCCAAGCCCTAATTGCAGTGGAACAAGGGGAGGGGTCGCGGAGGAGCACGGGAGGGTTCGCCCCGCGCAGCGTCGGCACCCTCCTTTCCTGCGCTTCTTCCTCCCATGGAAGGATCACCCAAGCCCTAGATCTTCTCGTCCCAAGATGGCTCTCCATCTTCCTCCGCTGCTACTCTTGCTGTTTCTGCGGCTCTCTGGTCTGGTCCACGGCACAACCGACCCGCCTGATGGTAAGCGATCTGCGTAATTCTCCGGCTTCAATGGCTCATCTTGTTTATTGTTATTCCTCCTTGTGCTCCTTACGAGTCCGGTGAGATTATTTATTTATTTATTTTTTCCATAAACGGTCTCTTGACGTTGTATAATTACGAAACAATTGATGGACTGTCCATGTGAACTTGAAAGACCAGAAAAACGAAGCCTGTTGTTTTATGGATTATAGTCTTTCCTGAGTTTGATTGAGGACTGTCGGGATGATTGCTTCTTGCGTCTCTCTTTTCACCATCTTCCAATGGATCGAAGAGAGATATCTCATTGTGTCCAATTGATTGACATCTTAATACGATGGAATCTCTAACTCTTGTTTCGCACGGTTCTAGTCCAACGCTGCAGTCACTTCTCTAGATTCCAGGCTTTTTATCTGTTTCATTTTACATTATTGGTTTTATTTTACTTTTTGCAGTTTCTGCCTTGAATGACCTGTATAGAAGCTTAAATTCTCCCTCCCAGTTGACGGGATGGAGTTCCAGTGGTGGTGATCCCTGTGGGAACGATTGGCAAGGCATCAAGTGCTCTGGCTCCTCCGTGACAGAAATGTGAGGAACTTAAATTTTCGTGGATTCTTATGGTGGCTAGCTTTCTTCAGTTGCTGTAAACTAGTCATCATGAAGTTTTCATCCAGGACGTTCTTCTGTAGTGTGTTTTATGTGATCATATATGAAGATACACTCATTAAGTCATGTGGTATAGCTGCATTTGAAGAATATGCGACCTATGCAAATTACATTGCTGAAAATGCAGATTATATTACCACATACGGAATTCTTTCTTGGTGATTTGTGCTGCAATACATATTCCATGTAAAATGATACTTTTGTCTCTTAAACCCCATTCACTTCTTATTACTTTTCACTTAAGCTGCATATGGAGAATATGCAACATATGCAAAATTCCTTTCTGAAATGCAGATTATATTACCACATAGGATGATTCTTTCTTGGTGATTTGTCCTGCAATACAAATTCCATGAAAAATGATACATTTGTCTCTTAAACCTCATTCATTTCTGATTAATTTTCTCTTTAAGTATGCTATCAAATGATTATATGCATTTAGTAAATATCTAATTTGACTATACTGCCTGCTTGGATTAGCTAAAGTTCATGGTGGTAGAGGAACATGATGTAGTTATTGTTCAAAGCTTTGTTATACTTGTAACCATATGTCACTTTATAAATAGGGCAAGCCAGTATATGAGGCTTCAGCCGGTGCAGAGTTTTAGGAGGAGTATGTAGCCTTGCCCACCCATATAAGTACAGAAGCTGTTCTAATGACTCGTACGTTGGTCACCCAGGTTGCAAAGGAGCAATTTTAATATTGTACCAAGGCTCAAACTGACATATGTTGCATAAAGATTTGTTCTTTGTTGACAGCACATATAGTGTTGCAGTTTTAAGAACATTTCTCAAAAATGTAAACATCATTGATGTTGGGCATATCCGGCTGTTTCATTAAGGGTTAAAGATCAATAACTTATACTATGAATAAAAGAAAGCTGCTGGATTATTCTTTTACTAATATAGCTTTTGATTAAAGGACAAGCATCACTCTGACATTTCTTTAGGAGGAAGGTAAGTTTTATAAAAAAAGTCCACTGTTTATTTATACAAAGGCATAGAGGTTTTAATGCCATAGTATATCAAATGTTGAGGCTCATTTCATAAGAGTGCTTATGCTGATCACCCTTTTGCCTAACAGTACTTGGTAGGCAATTTGTGAAAGTTGCTATATATTTTTTGTCATTACTTTACTGAAGGCACTTAATTGCTTAAATTCTCTTTGTTTTAACCAGAATACTCTCAGGTCTTGGATTGACTGGTACAATTGGTTACCAACTGTCGAGCTTGACTTCAGTAACTTATTTGTAAGGACTAACTTGGTTCTCTTTGAAAAATATTAATGTTGCAAGTTGCAAATTAGCATGTCTTTTCTTTGTCTTAGTACAGTGATTTGAGCAAGAACAATCTTCATGGTGATATACCTTACCAACTTCCACCTAATGCCATTCATATGTAAGTTGCACCTTAAAATAATGAATATTTGCCAACTCTGATTTCATGCTTGCTATCGCTTTACCTTTATGTCCATTTTAAAGAATATGAAAAGTCAAAGGAAACCTACAGTCATCTGTAGCAAATCAGTTTGGCAGATCCTTGTGGTTGAAATCATTTCAAAACTATATAGTCACAAGGCTATCGTATAAATGAGATTTCAATCCTTTGTTTGGTCACATGGCCAGCATATCAACAGGATATCAATGTTCGTTTGAGTTTAGTTTGACATCTTTTTATGAATGCAGAGATCTTTCTGGAAATGTATTTACTGGAGGGATTTCTTATTCAATTTCTCAGATGACTGATCTTAACTATTTGTAAGGAGATTTTGATTTTCATTGCAAGTGCTCCCATTTTCATCGATGCTTCTTAGTGATCAGTCATTTGATGATGGAACACAGAAATCTCGCCAATAACCAGCTCAGTGGACAGTTAACTGATATGTTCAGAAAACTTCCCAGTCTCTCATTGCTGTAAGATAGCTTCCACTTGATTACACAATCTATCTATGTCTTCAAAATAAAGAAATTAATTTTGCTATTGTTGCCAATGATTTGTGACTGTGAAAATGGTTTCCTTTTTCCAGAAACTATGCATATTGGCATTAGTAATATTT